TTTTTATTTTAAATATAATCACCAAAATATTAAAACTTAAATAAATATTTTATAAAGGATGAAAATATTATAACCTAAATAAATGCAACTTGCATCAAGGCTCTTAATTTTTTTTAATAGACCAAATAGAGATTACTTATTATTTTAAAGTACAAAGAATAATTCTACCCATATTTTACAAATCCAGGCTTTTAATTAAATTCAAATTCAAAAACATTTTCCCTTTAAGTTTTCTAATTATTGTTTTAGGATTTTATTTTTTAATTTTTGTCATTTAGTCTAGAAAATGATTGAGTTAACGAAAACTTTAATTGATAAAAAGGTTTGAATATTTAATTTAGTTAATAATTTCAACTTTCAAGTACTAAATTACATGTTCCATCTTTTCATATTGTTTAATTCTTTAGGATGAAAAAAGATAATTTTTAATAAACAAATTAGTAAAAAAAAAAAAAATAAAGACATTTTTGGATGGAAAGTATACTTTGTTGAAAAAAAAAATAGTCTGTACTTTAAACAGTTAAATTAATTAATATGTCAATGTGCAAGGAGCTTCTGTTGCTTTTCAAACAATGAAAAAGATCGAGATCATATAGAGAAGAATTTTGAATTCTTCTCAAGTGTAATGTTGAATGTTCATAGAGCCACAGATCTTATGTTTCCAGGAGAATACGAACTTGAAAAGGCAAGATCCTTTTCAAGGAAATTACTTGAGAAATACGTATCAATAGAAAATGGAGAGCAGTCTTTCCTCAAAACGATGGTACTTATAATATTAATATATATATGAACTAGTTAATTACTTTTATTATTTCCAAAAAATTAAAAAACTAATGATTTTATAGAAGGCATAAGCTTTTTGAACTTGCAAATTAAATGTTGCATAGATCAAGCATGAGCTAAGTGTTCCATGGATTGCTCGACTGGATCACTTGGAACACAGAATGTGGGTTGAAGACAAAGATATGAATGCATTGTGGGCTGGAAAGACTTCCTTCCATAGGTATTAAGGCTTCTAGTCTCAAATAAGTTAGTGGTTTTGCAATTTAAATTAAGTTAAACTTCAAAAACATGACTATTAAACGGGAAGGGTCAGTTTCAACATTAAAGGAACCACCCCATCTAATAATCAGTTTTGAACAATTCAAATTGTATGAAACATTTTTGTTATATAATTAACCGACGAACAAAATTTTTGGTATTGAACTAACCAGGCTGTCAAGCTTCCGAAACGAGAAGCTAAAGAAACTTGCAGTTAAGGATTATGAGTTTCGACAATCAATTTACAGGACAGAACTGGAAGAGCTGACAAGGTGGTCTAGGAAATGGGGTCTTGTCAATTTGGGATTTGCTAGAGAGAAAACAACATATTGTTACTTTGCGATAGCAGCCTGCGTTTCTTTACCTTACAACTCTGCGTTAAGAATGATGGTTGCAAAGAGTGCAATTCTCATTACAACTGCTGATGATTTTTTTGATTCTCACGGTTCGCTACATGACCTCAACACCCTCATCTCTGCAATTCAAAGGTAACACTTAACAAACTAAGGTTGTCGCAAGAGGCTAGGGCTATCATGAAACGCTCTCAAATTTCTTAAAAAGTTGTGTATGGACAGATGGGATGGCAAGAGCTTGAATGGGCATTGCAAAACTATCTTTGATGTCCTTGATGATCTTGTGAAAGAAATTGCGGCGAAACACCTCCATAGTCAAGGATCAGATCTAACAAACCATCTGCAACACCTAGTAAGTTTATAAACCCTTAACTTCTTGTAGCTTCTTGTCTTTTGAAGGAATGTGTAAGAAACAGTCTCTTCTTGTTGGTGGTATGTGAAGTGGTATGAAACATTTATTTCATGGCTGGTGGAAGCTCAGTGGAGTAGGAGTCAATGCGTGCCATCAATGGAAGAATACCTTGCAATTGGCATGACATCCATTGCTGCACATACACTAGTTCTTCCAATTTCTTGTTTCTTGACTCCAAGCATTCCGAATCACAAACTCCAACGAAACCAATATGAGACACTCACCAAATTGCTCATGCTCATAACTCGCTTGTTGAATGACATTCAAAGCTACCGGATAAAAGAAAATGGAAATTCATTGTAGATTGTTTGGTTTCTAATTTTCCTTTTTCTTTGGAAAAATGATATTATCATTTGCTATAACAGAAGGAAGAAGAGCAAGGAAAATTGAACACAGTGCTGCTATATTTGAAAGAAAATCCTGAGGCAGATATTGAAGACTCAATTGCTTATGTGAAAGGAATGCTAGAGACGAAGAATAAAGAACTACTTCAACATGCTTTCATTGATGGCTTTAGTGATCTGCCAAAACATTGCAAGCAGCTTCATCTATCATGCCTGAAAGTATTTGCGATGTTCTTTCATTCAAGCAACCGATATGATAAAGAGGACACAGGATTGCTTAAAGACATTCAACAAGCAATCTATTGTCCCCCTCAACAGATATCCGGGCGGCGGACAGATCGACCTCATCTCGGGAAACATGCCCAATTTTGAAAAAGATGAAGACGTTGAGACAAGGAACAAAATGGAGGTTGACGAGCTCATTAATTGCAAAGATTTTGAAATCCCTGTTGAAATTGGTGAGAGAGTTGCAGTGGGCCCTCAACAGGTTGCTTTCGTTCAAAAAAATGAGGACGTGGAGGCAAGGAGAGCACTAGAAGATGTTGAGTCTACCAACTGTGCAGATTTCGAAAGTCTTCCTAATGCCGGCAATGATGTGAGAGTTGCAGTGGGGCCTCTTGAGATTGCCTTGGTTCAAGATTTATCAAAGAAGGTTAGGAACAGCAGTGAAGAGTAGATGACATTAGCAGAAAGTAGTGCACAGAGCAACGCAAAATCATGGCCCACCACACGTTCTGGAAGGAACTTGGAATTGGGCCTCAAGGGCGAGTCCCCTAAGCCCAATCCTAATATGGATAAGACAACTCAAAGCCCGTCAAAAGGAAGGAATATGGAGATTGAACCAGAGGAAAACATAACCAGCATTCACCGAAAGCTCGTGTGTGAAAAGAATGCAGCAAACAATTCAGAGAGACACTTCTGGGAAGATATGGACAGCGATTCCGGTGAAATCAAAGAATGGATGCGCCTACATGACGGTAGGACCCTAAAAACTACCAGAAAAAAGAGGAAGAAAGCTCGATCATGTGCTGAGGTCTACCAAAACTCCAGAGCTGTGCAGATTTCGAAAGATAAAATGAAGAGAAGGGGACGACCAAGTAGTGGACATTCCATTCCAACTTTTCTCCCATGTGCAGAAATACATGTGGCTGGCGAATCCATTGACGACAGTGACATCAGAAACTGCAACAGAGGAATACAAGAAAAAAAAAACAAGAAAGAGATGGTGAGAGAATTTGGGATTTTGCCAAGAAGTTAGGGGCAACAACGAGTGGAAGCGAGGAGGAACTAATTCGAAGGATCAATGAACTAGAAGCCAGAGACAACGAAGCCAAAGATAAAGCAACAAAGGCTACAACTGGAGGAGAAAGGGTAAGTCTCCCCAATTCAAAATGATTTTGCTTTCATGGAATATAAGAGGGTTGGGTGGTGGGGGTAAGCGAAGAGAAATAAGGGAACTCATAGTTAAAGAAAAAGTTGAATTTGTTGCTTTGCAAGAGACAAAATTAAAGTTGATTGACAGAAATACTTGTAGATCTCTATGGGGGTTTGATAATTTTGATTGGGTTGCTAAGGCTTCAATCGGTAGATCAGGAGGGCTTCTATGTATATGGAACTCTGATATTTTTTGCAAAGAAACAGTTCTTGAGGGGACCAATTTTCTGGGCATTTATGGTTTTTGGGGTAAAATTGCAGTTCCAGTTTTCATCATCAATATCTACTCCCCTTGTGAGTTAGTGAGTAAAAGATTATTATGGGAAGAGTTAAGCAATCTTGTCTCACCTTCTGCTAGTGGGAATTGGTGTATACTTGGTGATTTTAACGCAATTAAAAGCCAACATGAAAGGAAGGGTTGCAAATCCTTATCCAGTGAGATGAGAGAATTCTGTGATTTCATCAATGAATTGAATTTAATTGACCTACCACTGATAGCGAGGAAATATACTTGGTACAAATCAAATGGAGAATCAATGAGCAGGCTTGATCGAGCTCTTTTTTCTGAAAATTGGTTGTCTACTTGGCCTGATATGAAGCAATGGTGTTAGATCATGTTCAAATCACTGCCCAATTCTATTGAAAAATCAGTGTAAGGACTGGGGACCCAAGCCATTCCGTTTCTACGATGCATGGTGGGACTCTAACGACCTTAAAGAGCTGTTAACCCAAGCTTGGACCTCTGTGAAGGTTCAAGGATGGAAAGGTTATTGTCTCAAGGAAAAATTAAAAGTCTTAAAGAAATCTTTGAAACAATGGAGTACCAAATTCAACACAGAAACAGAGTCAAAAATTTCTTACTCTAAGCAGAGAATTGAAGATCTAGATCTAAGAGGGGAGTTACAACAGTTGACAGAAGAAGAAATTAT